GAAGATTTACTAGGGCTCCAACGTCCCTTAGAGTAATAGACATGGGACCAAGAGGGAAAACAAAGGTGTTATACTCAGAAGACAAAAACTCAAAGCAATAGGAAAAAGCACTGGGTCAAAAATTGGGAGTTGAAGAGTAATTTCTAATAAATTTGAAATCCTAGCGTGATCAAAAATCGCCTTGGTGGGGCCATGATTCACAAGACGTGCATGCCATCTACGAAAAATAACATCAGCTTTGGACCAAGTGCAAATACCTTTTTCGTGAATCGGCTTCAATGGCAGAGAGTTCAAGAATGGAGGACCTTGAGTGTAAGGGAACAGTTGGCCCACCGCCACTTGTCCGACGGCTTCGGCATTATTGAACGATGGACCCACGTAGAATTCATTGAGGTTAGCACTAACTTGTGTAAGGAAGTTTGGATTTACATATGACCTAGTAAAATCTACGAAACTAAAGGAATCATCAGATTGAGTTTGTGAAGTCGCCATTGGAAATAAAGTACAGTTTTGATAAGGTTTGCCTGAGAAACGTAGCAGAGAAGCAAGAAGATGAACAGTAAAATAGCGAGGAAGAAGCGCGAAATATAGACATGGTTGAGTGGTGCAATAAAATGGCGTGTCCTTTTGGTTTATAAGGGTTTGTAACGTTGCACTTTTTCAAACTATAGAAAGAAATAATGATTGAAATTCTTGAAAATTTCAAATATTGCTAGAAAATACAAAGTGAATATAGCAAAGATTAATAATTAGTATTAATTCTGCCATATTGGGGGGTAATTGTTGATACACTAAAAGTGCAACCCAAATCAAATAGTCCAAAGAGTGAAGCCCAATTGGGGAATCCAAGATAAAGATCCAAACAAGATTATTGAGGAATGCGATGGAAGCCCGAGAACACGGTAACATTATTGTCCAAGCTTGCAAGACGACCAAAATCTGAGCGAATGGAGTACCTTACGGTCGCTCAGAGCGATGACCCCGTTCTCACCGAAACATTCGAATCGCCCAAGATCTTAGCAAGCATAACATTATGGTTATCCAGAATAGCAGTTGTTGAAACAGTTATTGAGTGATTTTATCACATTCCACGATTCAAGGAACCCAGTTGAAGGCATTGAGCGACAAAGAGTAATGGCAACAATTAGAGACGGCAGTTCCACGGCAAATTAGCTACCATAAAGAAAGTGGGTAGTTATACAGCAATCAAGCAATTTCCAAACGGTTTACCACGAAAAAAAAATAATCAAGGGAATATAAAAAGAAGAGAAGACATAGAGAAAAAGGATCCCCGAATCAAACACTCTCGAACAGAGAATATGTAATTTCAATTTCTTAGTTTAAATTTAAACATTTCTTTTAGTACTCGTGTGTTTGTGCCCCTTGGAGGCATTCTGTTTAGTTTCAATCGTAAATCATCGCCAATAAAACACCCCTTTTTGGGACTTTGTCTCAAGAGATCCGTTTCTTACACAATCGTCTGATTTCCTTTTAATTGTTAGCGACTACCCGCGCGAAACACTTTCAACTTAGATAACATAGAATGACCTAGAGAAGATGCTCTTTGGAACATGCTTTCCCTATGCTGCATTAGAGATATGATCTAACTGATTACTTTGCGTAGCCCAAGCCATTACATACATTTTTTTATCGATGTGAATTTTTATTCCAAAATGTATAACGTTTTAAGAAAATACATAAAATAAATTTAAAGAATTAAGCTAAAGTGGCAGAAGATGGATGACAGCCTCTCATATGCGTGAAATCCACGTGAATAAAAACTGCAAAAAATAAAAATAAAAAATGTGAAGCCGCCATTTATTGTGAGTGTCGGTCATAGCCTCCCTATGAGTGTAGCATCTTCTAAATTTAAATAGATACAAAGAATTTTGCTAGAAAAATAGGAGGCCGAACCCCAGTTCTGCGCAAAAAAAGGGGACCCCCCACCTATTGGTGGGGCTCGATCAGGGGGGTTGATAGACCCCCTGTTTTTGTAACAAAGCTCTAGATACAAATAACTGCATTGTTTCCAATATCCATCATTTAGTAATGAGAAACAAGATTGTCAACAATCATTTAAGTAATGACGTGCACATTGCGGAATTAAATGAAATCTGTTAAAACAAAAAGAGTTGGAAGCAGAAGCCAAATTTATGATCCTTTATGCAGTTGTATTGGTAAACTAATTAATCGACATATATTAGTCAAGAATCAACCAAAATTATTAATTATAAACGGGATTGAGCATGCATTCCAAACTTTTAAACTAAATGAAAATTGTGCAATACTTATTGTTCTCGTTTAACTAGAAATTAGCGTAATGGTGTGTTTGGTAATTAAATAAGTAACTTTTTTTTTTTTAAAAGAAAATTGATCAACATAGCCAAAAGCTGAATACAATATGTTTGATAACCAACCAAAACAAGATTATAGAATAAGAACCTTTTCAAACTGTTCATCGGTCCTATGGTTTTCAATTATTTTCTTTTGAAAATTTAAGAGCTTGCAAGGGAAGCTCCCCGTTGTGTTGATGGTTTATTTATAGGTTGCTACCACAACTAACAGTCTGTTTGGGAGTGATTTTTTCCTTCTAAAAAAATAATTTTTTGATCGTTATTTTACTATTCCAACCGTCATATTTGACTTCTTCTTTCACAGGTTGATCCCACTTTTCTCCTAACAGTCAAAAAATCAATTCTCAAAATCACTCTCAAACAGGCTCTAACTTATTTAATCTCTTCAAACTTGTAAATATTTTGAAGGCATTTTTTTATTTATTTTTATTTTTATTTTCAAGTTAGGTCATCATTGGTTGAACTACAAATTTAGATACTTGGTCCTGCACTCTTCTACTTTGGACTTCGGATCTATGCGTTCACATTTAATCTATAATCTATAATAAAACATAAAAATGTAATGAAGATTTTTGGACGAATCTTAATGAGTTACGTTTGATAATTCAGCACGTTAAATACTTCGAAAGTAGTTTGAATTGAGTAATGAAATAAAAGCTTCCCAATTAATTAGCTAAAAATTTAAGGATTAGAAGTGATCAATATACGTAAACACAATCCAATTTAATGAGAAAAATGTTGTGCTTCATCAACGATATTTCATGTAATAAAATAATATAATTAGTTTAATTTACGGGATCACTATTAAATATAGGAACCACATTTATGTTTAATACTTAGAAAGAAAATTGATATTTAAAACATTAAAATTACTCCATTGTTTTAAAAAAATTCTAGTCCCCATTTTTTTCCAAATTTTAATGTTTGAAACAGTGTTATTTATTTATTAAGAATGTATGATTAAAAAACAACGAAAAGTTTTCAATTTACATATAATATTATTTTACGGAAGATTATGAAAATAACAGAGAAAAAATGAAAGAGAATAGAAGCCAAACGGAGGCTTAACACGTTCTTGTAACGAAGTTTAAACGCCGGCAGATCCAGCGTGCGTGAATTTCCCGGATCGGAAAGAATGATAGCAGCTCGTAAATATTGTATTTATGCTTTCGCAGATAGGAATTTGGTGATTTTCAAAATTAATATAAGCAAAGTACATAAGAAAGCAGAAATGAGATGTGCCCATGTGAATGAAACAACTTCCATTACAAGTAATGACGAATTAGAGCATTAGATGACACGATCTCGGTTTTGGTCCAGCTGGAACTGAAAATGAGACAAAGAGGGACTCGGGGTACTTACAAATGACAATACTTATTCTATATATCTTTCAGGGAAAGCAAAAACAAGTGAAAAAATAAATAAAATTAATATCATGGACTAGGCTTGATGGAAAATCACATAAAAGAAAGAGGATAGATGTACTCTACACGAGAATAGTGACAAATAGCAACAAGACTAATTCCAACTCCAGCTGCGAGAGGACGTTCGCTTAAGCATTTCCAGCAGGGAGCTCACCCCAGCTCTCCATCCTATTGCCATATTTCGGCCTCCATTCAGTCCTCCCCTTGACAATTTCAGCCCCGGCCTCCAGTCGAAGCAAATGCTGGCACTCAACCTTACCAGAACTTGCCAAGTCACCAAGACCGTTACTCACCACGGAAGTAAGGGATTGCAGCACACTATCCCTCATACATTCCCTCCTATACTCGAGAGTCATGCCAGCAAGTTCACAAGTCTCCAAGATCGGTAATGGAACACTCTGCAACCAAAGTAAACCAATCAAAGTAAGATGCAAATTACCTTGAAACAAGTCCTAACAGAAGCCGAGAGGTGAAATAGAAAGTAGAACATTTTCTCAGTCATCAACATCAAGAATAAGTTGTTGTCAATGCCAGTCATCAAGAGGGCCCAGACTATTTTTATTTTCTCTTTACATATTTATGTTAAGTGTTTCTTCTTTACAAACTAAATCTTAACAGTGATGGGAAAAGCACGATAAGGTAATAACCAATAACTGTAAACACACGATAACAAAGAAGAGTCCATCAGACAGTAATTTGTGACTGATGTTGCTGAAACAAGATTATAAAATGTTCGCATCTTGAGATTCCTTCTAGAGTCGATATCCACGCGTGCATGAGGGTAACCTTACCACACACCAATAACGCACAATCCATGCAAAAGTACAATATGTATAGAAGGAACATCTCAAAACTATAACTAGCTGGAATAAGCAGCAGGATTAAGCAGTTCTAGAAAGTAATATTTGTTTTCTATTGGAGCATTTAGCATTTACTCACCCGTCCACACAAAGATAGGCTTGCTTTCCTTTTTTATCTGTCCCAAATTATATGTCACTTCCTTGTGGAGAGTATAGATGATTTTTTAGTTTTCTAATATGCCCCTATTTAATGTGTCTTGTTATCATATTTTAATGAATGGGTATATTAGGAAAAATGTAAGAAAACTTTATATTTCCAATTACATCAATTACATTTTCTTAATCCATGTGAAAATAGAAACAAGCCTATCTTCATAGGATAGATAGAGTACAATTTGTTATATCATGTGGTTAAGGGTATTTATCTCTGGCTAGACATGGTGAAATCCATGGGTCTATAGATTTTTTTATTAAACAAAGCTCACTGATTATTCAGATTCTTAAGCAGTTTACCATTAAGTGTATTCTTCTCCTCCAAAAACCTTTTAAGCCCAAAACCTTGCCCATTAGTTACCCAGTATATAGACTCATCTAGCCTGATGCCTTTCCCTCAAGTTGAACACCGAAAAAGAGAATATACATCTGAAGACTTCAGCAAGCATTACTGAGCGAAATACGAATCTGAAGTTTAGATCATATTCCTGTAAAGTAATGATATTCCACACTGAAGAGATATATCACATCAGCTGATGTTAGATGTACATAAAAATATAACATACAATTGTAATTATGTACCTCTGTATATTATCCAAGTTTTCTAAGTAAATTGACAACCTCACAGTCCAAGAAACAACAATCAAGTGCCAAAAATTAACAGATAGAAAAATCTTCCAAAGTACAAAGAAAATGTATATGGAAACAAAAACCAAAAAAGAATAAAAATAAAAATAAATAAATAAAACAAGAAGCTATGACAGGCAGTTTGAGGGCCAAATTCAAAATTCCTACGCACACAATATAAAATAACATAAATACATATGCATTCCATCCTGAATCAGATGTCTTCTTTTGTATAACTACGTTGTTCATGCAGAGCAATATTATTGCATGGGTATCTCACAATTACCTTTTAAAAATAATAAATTCTATTCATATGCAAAAATAAAGTACTTCAAAGATTTTACCAGGAATGAAGAAAAACAATGATGTATTGAAATAATAAAAGGAAAAAGGAATATTTACCTCAAGAATCCATCCCACGTATTTCACATTATTAACATGCTGGTTTACGTCCAAATCGCTCCATCTAGGCTGTATTCATAGATCAGTTTCAATAGAGTGAGATCAGGTGAAGGGGGTGTGGTGATAAATGTCATAGAAACTAAGTAATGTTCTTCATAAAGAAAGGGTGTGTTACTTACAGTTAAACCAGTACGAACATAATCTGCATTGTCACCATTCAGTTTTGGTAGCTTTCTACTGTCCTCATCCACAACAGGAAGAGAATCCACAAAATAGCCTCCTATTTCCTCTCTGACCTCATCTGGAATTTTGGCCAACCTCCTTGTCTCTTTATTCATCATCACCCATACACTGCAGTTAATTCATAAAAAAATCAAAAAGATAGCAGATAGTTCAGTTAAACTAGATTCACACATCTAAGGACATTAGCTCTAACACTCATCTAAGGACATTGAAAGTAAAGAAATCTAGTTTCAATAAAGACATGATTCAATATACCCAGTGACCATTCCAGTGAGCATGGATAAAAAATGCAGGCCACTGCAGGTCTATTAACATTTAAGAACCAATCAGCCATCTTTAACAAATAGTTAACGAAGTAAATAGAACAGTGTCCAACCTCGAAGCTCTAGTTAATATGTCACCAGTATTGCTATCACGTACAAGCCAGTCTCGGCGCATCCCATTCTTCCCGGATGCAGCTACCCAAGTATCGACCTGAACTACATCACCCCTGCATGATAGAATCAATATCTAAAACAATCAAACTTTACCGAGTTAACTACATAACATTTACTCGAGAACTTTTAACCAAGTAATGATGAAATCAGTTTTTCACTTTCGCTTAGGATTGGAGAAATACTTTCCGGACTTGGAGATGGTTTATCATGAATAATTATGAACAAGGGCAAAACTTACCAAGTAGGATACTGATCTACAATAACCTGCATTTTGGAAACTACCCAAATTAAATTTCTTTTGCACATCTCTCGAGTTGAACCAAAGCCATCGCCCAACAGTCCTGCAGTCTTTACATGGTTAAGTGCTGTTTCCTGAAAAAAAGAGTTCATCTTGTCAAGCAGCAGTGGACTAAACATATAGCAGGCTCAGTACATAAAAATAAATAGCTAGAAAGCACACAAATGCACTAGAACAATGAATTTTCCCAAAAATACCTGCAAATGGTTCATCAAAGTCTCTATAGATGCTGTACGATCAGCCCCTATTTCATATGACCTGATGCTGAAGTTTTGACGAAATATCAGACCATCTTGAACAATCCTTCCTAAACCAAAGGGGTCAGCAAGCATGTCTGGCCGCCTTGGTTTCCAATCAAGCATCATCCATTGCTTCTCAGCTGCCAGAAATATTGTTGTTATTGCAGCAAGGAGCATGCTCCAGTCAGGCAATTGGTTGATGAATGTCCTTGGGGGAGGAGATGATGTCACACCATCCTCAGTCTTAAGGCCATCCATAACTCCAACCTTGGTCCCATTTACCTTGGGAGAAGCATGTGCATTGGCCTTAACCTGTAAATTTCGGGAAGCTGTGGACTTCAGTTTAATCCCAGTTGCATCAATTCTTGAGGGGATGCTTCCTCCGAGTTTTCCAGGAGTTTTAGCTGAGGCATCTGAAGCTGAAGAAGCTATTGGGAGAAAGGCGGAAGTTGCAGCAGTGGCTACCATTGTTATTGTAACCTATTAAATCAGTCTATGCGACCAGGAAGAAAAATTAACAAATTCTTGGAAACTGCAAACCTCAAGGGTATGGCTCAACTTGAGCAAAGAATCACCAGAATGTCATTTTTTCTCTGCACAACAATGTAATCCACAAATTAAAACATTATTACTCATTTCCTTTACAAGTAAATATCATGGGCGTGTCACATTTCAAAAAGGTCAACATCTGTACATCATAAAACAAAGGAACCTGTAACAACGAGACAGAAGACGGGGAAGAGCAAGAAAAGAGAATTATCTTATTTGTATAATGAAATTCCGTAACAGCAGCTTCCCCCCAAGATATCTTCTTTTTCCCGTAATCAATGGATGCAGAGAGACTTATAATAAACATATTAGGCAAAAAGCCATTAAATGGAAGAACACATGATTGTAATTGAAACGATACATTCAAATCATTTTCCCCATGCTTATATGCAGACAAACAAATACAATAATTTCAACACAAAATCAGCAATAAATATTTCACTAGCTGACCACAATTCCAAAAACTAAATAAAATAAAACACAAACATTTCATTAAATAACAAAACCAGATCTGAGAATTCAACCAATTAAGTTAAACAAATATTATAATATATTCAATTTTCAAACTCCAATATCAAAAACAAACAGTGCTCCCCATATCGCCGCTCCCCCATAACATAACGAAATCGGATAACATTACAATTCGAACATTCCAGATCGATAAATAATAATAATAATAATAATAAAAAAGCACCAAATCTCAAAAAAAACCTAACAATAATTTTCCTTTTTTTTTTTTTTTAGCTTTTTTGAAAAGCTGGGAAAATTCTGGGAGAGAGAGAGAGAGAGAGAGGGATACAGCGAATTTCTTGGTGGCTGGCAGACAACAACCCCTTTTTATAGCAACCTTTGTAACCCTCCAGGTGGTCCCTCGCGCCTCTCCTTTCAAATTCATTCATTGCACCTCCTCTTTCTTTTAAACCAAAATTTCCCCTCTTCTCTTGCCATAGCTTTTAGACTCGACCCGATTAATGACTCAAATAGTGTAGATGTCGAGTTAAATTATACGTTAATTTATAAATGAGAACGTTTCATACTAGAAAGAATTGCAAAAAATGGTTCGATAAAACTTTTCCCTATTTTCTTCTTATGATATCCGATGATTGGATACATTAAGACGTTATTGATAAAAGAGGATTTAACACCTGCTCGGATTCGATTGACACATCAGTGTGACCCTTTCCATCCCTATTTAGTAGGAAAACTTTCACGAGGAGGACATAATTAATTCTTTTTTACCTTCGTGTTTAATTATGTTATTTTTAATAATAATTTTATTTTTAAAATAAAATTTAACATTGATCACATTCTCCGTTTCCATCCCAATTACATAAACGAGATGGCAATGCAAGATGGAGTATTTTATCATCCCTACGTTAATTTTGTTAATCAAGTTATCAATTGTAGAACCATTATAAACCTTAGAGTCTAAATCGGCGAGTAAAAACTTTAAAGACCAAATTAAAATTTTGCACAAACTTTAGTGACCATAAGTGTAACTAAATTCAAAATGGATATTAAGGGATAAATCACATATCGGTTAAATATCGAAATACAGATAAGTATATAAAAGATTGGGTTATTCTTCTTAATAAGATTGACCTTTTAAGATGGAACCCAAAATTTTAACATAATATCACAGCCCCTGCAAGATGGTGGCTTATTTGAGTCAATCAATCTTGAAATCTACGTTTTCATTTTTTGAGTCTTAGTCAGATTGAAATACTCGTTAGAGTTTAATGAGATCTGATACCATGTTAAGATTTGGGGTTCCATCTTAAAAGGTCAATTTTATTAAGAGGAGTAACCCAATCATTTATATATTGATCTGTATTTAACTGATGTGGGATTTATCCCTTAACATTCTCCATTTCCATCCCAATTACACAAACGAGATGGCAATGCAGGATGGAGTATTTTCTCATCCCTACGTTAATTTTGTTAATCTGGTGATCAATTGTAGAACCATTATAAACTTTAGAATCTAAATGGGTGGATAAAAACTTTAAAGACCAGATTAAAATTTTGCACGAACTTTAGTGACCATGAGTGTAACTAAATTCAAAATGGATAGGATACAATTGTTTTGTGTATACTAATAATCTTGAAAATCTTTGCCGATAGAAAAGTGTTAATTATATGGGAATTAAAAATTGGATTTTGTTAATTGTATATAAAAATGGTACACAAGTGGTTATTGAAAATGATGTGGAGGAGTTAATCGTGTTTTAAACTTACTAATGGTAGAGTGCTATATTAGACATTATGTAATTTCATATGTAAACTTTAATATATATGTAGCAAAGTTCTTAAAATTTTGTGTGGCTTTTTGGTTTTTTTTTAATTTTTTTTTGTTTATTTTAGGAAAAGCAAAATTTCTAACTTTGTGTGACAAATATGGATAAAATTTGTGCTTAGTAAAAAGCAAATACAAGTGTGTGTGTGTTTATATATATATAGGAATGATCTTCCAAACACTGGTGACATGACACATCATTTAATTGGTGAATAAATTAATGGTGGATCCCATGAATTCAATGATTCATCAATTAAATGGTGTACTATATCACCAATGCTTAGGAGATTATTACTGTGTGTGTGTGTGTGTCACGCTCCCTCAAATTTGTTGTCTTGAGAAAAATGAAAATGTTGACTTGACAATTGAATGTCTGCATTCATTTCATTAATATTTACAACATCTTAATATAACTTTTTTGTTTGGCAGTATAACGGTGTTAGGTGGAGTAATTTGATCAAGAATAAGGCTGCACGTATAGGTACAGCCTTCCTCAAAAGGCCCCACATGCATTAAAAAAAAATTGTGGGACCCATCCCCACATGAGTCTTACCTGGCGAGGGCTTGTGAAAGAAGGCCATGTACGTGCAGACTGACTCTTTGATCAAAAGAAAAATACAAATTAAATGTTATAATTGTGACATATATATTTCAATGAATCCTGAGAGGTAACTCAGTGGTTAGGTTTTGGGTTTGTTTCTCAATGATCACCGGTTCGAGTCCCCTCAAAACCAATGAGGTGAATACCCGGCTGTAAATTTCAGGGTGCTGTAGAATTAGTCGAGGTACGTATAAGCGGACTCGAACACCTACGATGAAAAAAAAAAGAATAATATTTCATTGATTTAAAATTGAGTCACAACTTTAGTCATATTTAGAAATTTTTTTATCATAAATTATTTATAATTCAAATTGGCATTAACTGGAGATTGAATGTTTTTGTTCATTTCATAAATATTTATAACGAGCCATTTTGAATTATAAATATAAATTCGATGACAAAATTATAAAAAATGAACTTCAAAAATCTACTTAAAATAGAGACACAAGTTTTGTGTCCTTTTCTTGATGGAACTTGAATTTGACTCACAAAAAGTAATATAATTCAAATTTCAATATTATTTTTTAACAAATGTAGTTTCTTCTTTGCATACACATAAAATTTAAGTGTAACATATTGGGGCTTCAAATAGAGTTCTAGACTCAAACTGTCTCCCATTCGTTTAGGAATATATGGTTAATTGAGTCAAGAAAAGGGTTTATCTTGGATTATATACTTAAAAAATATTTACGCAAAGATTAATTGTATTATTCACCCAATTCATTTTTTTAACAATTAATGTATTAAATGCGAAAGAGATGTAACACCAAAACTTTCTCATCCTTGACCAATATAAGATGGCCACATGAATAAATCCTATTAAAATTGTTGACAATTTGATGAAATCAATGACAAGTGACAATATTTCAAACTGGCTAAAAGCTATTGATGTGAAATGGGTGTTAACACCAACAAAAATATTGACAGTCAAGTTGAATTGGGGACTGATCCAAGATTAGATTTAAGATCGAGTTAAGAAATTTTAAACTGAGCAATACGAGAAAAAAAATTTACACTTAAAAAATTGATTTTTTATATATAAAATAAAAATGAAGACTTAAAAATACTTCTTGGACTTGAGTGGAGGCGACTACAGCCAAACCAGTCCCCCCTCCAAATTGGTCCCTAAGTTGAATAGTATGACGCTGGTTGGTGGTTCAAGGCTAGGAAATAATAAAATTAAAATTCCAATAACCATTATCACGGCTATTTTAATGTAGTGTACTACTTTATTAGTTGTCGCATAAGATTTGTCGAACAAAGTAACAATATGTGTTGAGTGAACTAAGTCCCGTTTGGTTTCCATTTTGTGGAAATGAAAAATGGGTGGATTAGTTTTTTTTGAAAAATGAGTAGTTGAAAAAGAAAGAAAAATTTTCGATTTACATGTAATATTATTTTATGGAAGATTTTGTGATTGAAAATAGGAGAAAAAAATAAAATGTAATGAAATGGAAATTAGTGAGGGCCAAACGGGGGCTAAGAATATACTCATTTATTTTTTTAATTCTCTAACTAATAGTTCCATTAGTAGACTTGATTATTTCAAAAAAAAATTTCTTACAATTGAGAAACTAAAAACAAAGACAACTTTTATACAGTCGTAATTAATCATTGTTGCTTCGAGGTCAATCTATTCACTCGTCTAGATAAATAAAATAATATATTTCCTCGTTCATTAATAAATCACAACAACAATGTATTTCTTTGCCCTACTCCATTGACAATAGAAAATCATCTCTCAACCAGAAGTAGATGGAGAGAAAATGAACACTACATTACCATACCTGAAATAGCCGCAAAAAGAGTTCTAAGGTAGTTCAAAGGCGCCACAATAAATTTTAGACTATGCGTCAAAAACGTGGAATTTGCAAGGTTACTCTGAGGAGATGAATCAGTCTGGGCCCCATTTTCTAAAACTTATTTTTCTTTAAAATTATTTTTAACCACACATTTCATGAAACCCACAACTTTTATCAAATTTTCAATTATCAATTTTTTTTATCAAATACACTAAAAATATGATTTTTAGCAAAATCAAATAAGAGTGAATCTAATTATCCGAAGGGAAAAGAATAGGGTCAATGAAGTTAGATTCTGTAGATATAATTTGTAACTTATCATGTTGTTTTTTTCTAGTTTTTTTACCTTAATTTTGTGCGATGTGAGATAGGACTATGCTACATGTACTGCATTTTTTTATCTAATCCTTTACCGATTACTCAAAATAGGGGGGTGGGGATCATATTTTTAGGATTTTTTTTA